AACAAAGTTGTGCGTGGCTCCTGTGTCAATCAAGGCATGGATGGGCTTCCCATTAAGCTTTACATTCACAAACATCAAGCATATGGTGGAGGTCTTGCCCTTGTTCAACTTGTCAAATGATTCACCGGTCCATGTAGACTTCTTTTCCTTGCCCTCATCCTTGGGCTCAACGAGTTGCTTGGGATTTGAAAGCTTGCCAACTTTTCCACTCTTGAGATTCTTTTCAGCCCTTGTTGTAGAAGCCCTCTTCGCCATGGCATTCATCATGTGGAAGGCTCCCACTAGTGAGCCACTTCCCTTGGAACCCTTTCCATTTTGCTTAGACAACATGTCCTCTTCGTCGCAGTCGTTGTCGCTTGATTGAGAGGTGTGGTCAGACAATGGCTAATGCATTCAAGGCACACTTTGTTGGCATTCAGACAACTTATGTGGCCCATTGCATAAGAAGCATGAAATAGGGCCTCGCCTTTTGCTTGTGGACTGTTGAGGGGCTTTTGCTTTGTCACCATAGCTCTTCTGTTGCCATTGTCCTCCATCCGAATGGGTTTTGGATGTAGAAGTGTTGGCTCCCCCACTCTTGGGTTTGTCATGGTCTTGGGGCTTTCCACCTCCCTTACTCTTGCGTGGAGAACCATTGTACCGTTGCTTCGGTTCTGCATAGTCAGTAAGGCACCCCGCAGCTGATTGCACATGGGCTAAATCTTGTACTTGTTGCCTTTGAAGTTCAACTCTTGCCCATGGCTTTAATCCCTCAAGAAAAAAGAAGAGCTTGTCTTTCTCTAACATGTCTCTAATGTCAAACATAAGCCTAGAGAACTACTTCACATAGTCTCTAATGGTGCCGGTGTGCTTGAGATCTCGCAAGGCATGTCGAGCAATGTACTCAATATTTTTAGGGAAGAATTGGAGCTTAAGTTCATGCTTGAGTTGCTCCCATGTCTCAATTGTGCATAGGCCTCATTGCATCTCATCATGTTTAGTTAACCACCATAGGTTGGCATCATTAGACAAATACATTGTGGCCATAGAAATTTTAGTCTCCTTTGATTCGGCTTTAACGGCTTTGAAACATTGCTCCATTTCAAAGAGGAAGTTGTCTTAACTCCTTGGCATTCTCGTGCGCCACCGTAGGCATGGGGCTCAGGCACACGCACCATAGTGAACTCCAAGCGACCAACAGGTGCATTGCAAAAGGCACGAGTAAGAATACCAACCTGGACGCTAAGATCTTCTATCTCAAGCCTGAGTTCAGTTACAACATCTTCCCAATCTTGCCCATGAGCTTGGGCATGTGCCGCTCCAAGGGTCAATATCTTGATGCCACGTACATTTATGCCTTCCAGGGAGTCCAAAGTATGCCCTAGTTGTTTGTGCAAGCGCATGCAAAGGGCCAAAACATCAGCCAAGAAGTGCTCATGGACTGCTGCCCAGCAGCCAGCGTGCACGCATTGGCACGCGGCCACGCCTGTGCGCATGCACCCATGTCTGCTAGCCCTCGCGCCTGCGCATGCCCATGCCCACAGCAGCCAGTGCCCATGCCACCAGCAGCACCTGTGCAGCAGCAGCTTTTGGCCAATATTTGAGGGACCAAATGGATTTTTTTGCCTTGTAAATTTTTATGCAAGTGCCTTAGTACGAAAGATGTTTGGGACCAAGTCTTGTGATTTTTCCCATTTTGTAGAATTTTTTGAAATTCATTATGACTCCTCAAACACTAAGGATTTTTCCTCCTACCAACTTGGAAATGGCTTAAAATGCTATATTAAAGTGGGGGTATCTCAAGTGTTGAACGATACCACTTATGCCTTTGAAGTACCTTAAGCTAGAGTAGTGGTAAGGCATCTCTTCTTTATACATTAAATTTCTACAGATATATATTACAATGATTCATGATTCCTATATATAGAGGGTGAGTGTGTAGTAGGTGAGGAGTAGGTGGAGAGTAGGTGTAGTAGGTGGTAGTGGTAGGTGTGTAGTAGGTGGATTTTAACAATCTCAAGTGTTGAACGATACCACTTATGCCTTTGAAGTACCTTAAGCTAGAGTAGTGGTAAGGCATCTCTTGTACCACTTTTGAGCATTGTTCAACATATGTAATCCAATCTTTTGCTTAAATAAAAACTCTCATTTTGATACAAGATTGTGCATTGTTGTGGCTTCTTGTTGCTTATTTTATTTAGCTATTTGCTTGCTATATTGTGGCACATCTCCAACCTTGTGGCTCACCTACTAACTTGTTGTGTTTGCTTGCCTTTGCAAACATCCTTGGCGGGCTAGTTGGGAGAGTAAACTAGCACCACACTCGTTTGCAACCTTTGGCAAGGCTTCTGTTTTGCCCGCGTGACACCTAGGCACCTCTAAGTGACACAGTGGAACATCATTGATGATGATGCATGGTGTAATTATCACAGTAATGACCTCTGGTATGGGCGTTGTTGTACTGTCTTCCGCAGTAGTGATATGTTAGTATTAAATGAGGACTTGGGACTTCAACATATGCAATGTGCTGGTCTGGCCTTTAATGTGGTGCAGTTGACACCAAACATGCGGACCTTACAATTCTGATCCTAAATGCAATTCTACAACAATTGAAAATCCATTCACTTTTTTTGTAGGTGGTCTAATTGTTATCACAACCCGTATGTCTTTTATCGCATCAATATCCTCTTTGGTCACATCCTTTTTCTCTAACACTCACCATATTATATCTCTAAGCACCCTATCGTAGCCTTTTTCTAAATCTATAAAACCCATGTGAAGATCCCTCATCTTTTCTCTTTACTTTAATATTAATCTTCGTAGTAAATTTATGTCTTCTAGGGCTGAAATCAGTTTAGTTTGGTTAATGTATAAGGCATAATTTGTACTGAACCGTACAGATTGGTTTCTTGAAAATGAGCATTGAAGCCAACTGTACCAAGTTAACCACCAAGCCGAACTGGTGTATATTCGGGGAGTTCGGCTTGTTTGGTTTCATTGATTTGGAAATTGAAGAATAAAAAAGGATAACTCATCTTCCAACACAACACTTAGATACACAATACATATGTATTTGTATATGTAATTTGGAAAAAAAATAAACCAGATGAAAATGAGAAATCTCTAATCATATACTCATTCCTTCATGCTTCGCATTCCCATAAGTCAAAAAATCCCTACATTCCTTTTGATGTAAAGACGCTTCATCAACAACTTTGCCATCAAACCTGCCAAATCAAACACTGATTGAAAGAAAGAAGAGGGAAAAAAATAAGAACTAGCAAGAAGAAAAGAAGGAAAAGAGAGGTTTTGTTATCTTTTGGTTCTGGGAAATTGAAGGAAATAAACTTGAATAGAAGAGATAGAGAGAAGAGAGGCATATGAGTTGTTTTATTGGAGATAGTAAGATGAATTGATGTAGAGAGAATACGTTTCTTGGTTATTGAAGAAAATAAAATGAATAGACCTATGGAGCGAGGAGAGTTGTTTGGTTACTTAATTGTTTTGGGAAGTGTATTTTTATTGGGAAATGCCTAGATCGGATACAATCAAGGTTTTAAAAAGCGGCCGCAACCGTTATGTAAGTTATTGCCACCCGTTACGGCCGCTATAGCGGTATGACGGAAATTCACATGTATAATGGCCGTTTCGGTGTTACGTAACGGCCGTAGCAGTCGTAACGGTCCGTTAGACTCCTTTTACAATATTCTGAATAGCTTCCTTTTCCCAAGAAAAAAACAGAAGCTTACAAAAAAGAACAAATACTCAAGTGATCCTAACCCAAAGAAAAAATCTTATATAAATTTGTTTTTCTTTATATATATATTTTTTTTATAAAATTTACGGCACAATTTTTATTTTATAATCCTTTCATTTAATAATTGTGAATATTCTTTATTTAGTTGGTTCAAGTGTTGGTAAAACATAATTTGTAGACATTTAAAATCAGTTAGTCTTAAAATCATTTACTATTGAAATAAAATGTAAAAAGCTCCTTTTATAGTGATTTGAAAATAATTTACTATTGAAATAAAATGTAAAAAGCTCCTTTTATAGTGATTTGAAAATATGAAATATATTGGATCATACTTAAAAATTAACAAAAATTTATCACAATTTATTTTAAACTCCAATAAATGTGATTCTAAAGAGAGAAAAAAATATATATATGCGTATCGGTAAGTTTTTTTCAAAAAAAAAAAAATCACGGTTCCGGTTACCGCAACTATTACGCTATGGCTTTTATACCTCGCAACCCTAACCACTACCGCGTCACCGCAACTGTTACAGCGACCGCAACCGCTTTTCAGAACCTTGGATACAATAACGAACGTTGGTTTGGTGCATTTCGGTTTTTAATTGTGAAAACCAGGACAAAACCAAAAACTGAATTTTTATAGAGTAGAAAACCGAGCAGACCAAAGGTAATGAAAAAGCTGGCCAAATTCACTCAGTTCGGTCAGTTTGGTCAGTTTTGGTCCAGTCCATTTGGTGTGACTGGGTTTTTTTTCCTCCCCTAATCTCTTTCGTAGTTAATTTACCTGGTATAAATCCAAACAGATTCTCTGACACTATTGTTGTAACTCTTAAACAATGCTCAAGGACTCTGTTCTATAATTTCGTTGTATAACTTATCATGTTAGGGGAAGGCTACCATGTGCACCCCAAAAAATGGTACATCTGGTATGCACTTTATACAAAAAGTATAACTTTTACCACAAAAATATAACTTTTTGCTCATCAACAAAAAGTATAACTTTTACCAACAAAAGCATGACTTTTCTATTCATAACTTAAGGGTTGCACACTATAACTTCACCATTCATAACTTTCACCAAAAAAAATTTGACTTCCACTACAAGAAGTCATGACTTATACCACAAAAATAGCAACTTGTGTTACGATACGCACCTTTTTACATCGTATGTTTCTATGATTCCAATTTTCAAAATCTCCTTTATTTTTATATGCAATATATATAAATATCTGAATTTTATGTCATTTTTCTTGTCTTTTTGCAGGTGAATTTATTTATAAGGTTTCTTCTCGATCACCAACTAGGCATTTTATTATACATTCGCGAAAGGCATTGCTCAATGGCATTAGCCCAGCCGATAATCGAAAAATCCCTCCCTTGAAGTATGTAGTTACTTGGAACATTAATTGTTTATTAAGCATGCTACCAATTATATACATTATGTGGTCATATAATTGGCTTTATTGTTATCAGTTCAATGCTACCTAGTAAAAATAAATAAATAATAGAAAAAAGGGAAAAATGTTCAAATTAATGAAGGATAAACTTTTTAGATCATGACAGATCTGCTTCTATTTTTTGTAGTGCAATTGATAATTTCATCTATGCAGATATGAATACTACTACGCCCTCTTGCGTGACTTTCCAGACTTGAGGCTTACAATTAATGGAGGCATAAATGGCGTTGATGAGGTGACTGCTATTTTGGTCTGGCAAACTTGAAATATAACTCAGTGTGTTGTGGCTAAGCCTTATAAGGTGAAATTGCATGCATATAGTGTGAGAATATTAGGTTTTATGTGTATATGGTATTATATATAATAATAAAAAAAATAACGCCCAATTAGCACATATTAATGTGTGTTTGGGAGGGGAAAGATTGGGTACACACCTAACCTTTGGTATAGTGCACCTAACCTTTAAAACAAATCAAAACTTAGCTTTTTCTAACCAATTCTTCAAACCCCTTTTCTTTTTCAAGTTCTCTTCTATTTCTTTCATTTCAATCTCTCCAAATCTTAGTCTAGATGATTTTCTTGCTAGATTACAATGTTAGATTTGCATAAAAGAAAGAAAAGGAAGAGAACTGTATATTATTCACACTCATAAACCTATTAGGGTTACACATACTTATAATAAAAGACTAAAGGAACAAAAGACATAACTATCCTTAACTACCCTTATACAATAATACTTAACACTCCCCCTCAAGTTGGTGCAAAGATATCTCTCATGCCCAACTTGCAGCAAATAGGATGGAAAACTTTACTACTAAGACCCTTAGTAAAGACATCAGCCAATTGATTTGCAGACTTCACAAAAGGCATACATATGAAACCCTTATTCAATTTCTCCTTGATGAAATGTCTGTCAATCTCAATATGCTTGGTTCTATCATGCTGAACAGGATTGTGAGCAATACTAATGGCAGCTTTGTTGTCACAGTACAGTGTCAATGGTTCACTACAAACAAACCCAATATCATTCAACAAGGACTGGAGCCACATCAATTCACATGTACCATGCGCCATAGCCCTGTATTCTGCCTCTGCACTAGATCTGGACACCACTGTTTGTTTCTTACTACGCCATGTCACTAAATTTCCCCCCACAAATGCACAATAACCGGAGGTAGATCGCCTGTCATCTATAGAACCAGCCCAATCAGCATCTGTGAATGCCTCCAACCTCAAGTGACCATGATTGGAAAATAAAATCCCTTTTCCAGGAGCAGATTTAAGATACCTCAAAATACGATACACTGCATCCAAATGAGGGGCACGAGGCTCATGCATAAATTGACTCACTATCCCAACCGCATAGGCAATATCTGGACGAGTGTGGGATAAATATATAAGTCTTCCAACAAGTCGCTGGTACCTTTCCTTCTCCACAAGATCACCAACACCACTACAAAGATGGTGATTAGCCTCAATTGGAGAATCAGCAGGTCGGCAGCCTAACATGCCAGTTTCCTCAAGAAGATCTAGAATATACTTTCGCTGAGAAAGAAAGATGCCTTTGTCAGATCTGGCAACTTCAATCCCAAGAAAGTACCGCAATGAACCAAGGTCTTTGATCTCAAATTCCTTGGCCAACAGCATCTTAAGATGTGTCACTTCTTCCTCATCATTACCTGTCACAACTATGTCATCCACATACACTATAAGCACAGTTACCTTATTTGCGTGACGTTTGACAAACATTGTGTGATCTGCATTGCTTTGCTTATACCCGAACCTCAACATAGCCTTTAGGAATCTGTCAAACCAAGCCCGAGGAGATTGTTTTAAACCATATAACGCCTTTTTCAACCTACAAACTTTCCCAACTGTAGACTGAGATGAGAATCCTGGTGGTATATCCATATATACCTCCTCCTCCAAATCACCATGGAGAAATGCATTCTTCACGTCTAACTGCTGTAAAGGCCATCCCAAATTAGCTGCACATGAGAGAATAGCTCGAATGGAATTCATCTTCGCCACAGGAGCAAAGGTTTCTTGGTAATCAATTCCATATGTCTGAGTAAATCCCTTGGCCACTAACCGTGCTTTGTACCGTTCAATTGTTCCATCTGCTTTCTGCTTGATGGTGAACACCCATTTACACCCTACAGGCTTTTTTCCACTAGGAAGAGAAACCAACTCCCAAGTGTTATTCTTGCTTAGAGCTTGCATCTCTTCTACCATAGCTACTTTCCACTTAGGATCATTGATAGCTTCTGTCCAACCCTGGGGAATACATGCAGAAGACAAAGACGAAACAAAAGCACGATATGTAGAAGACAATGAATCGTATGACACAAATTTAGAAATGGGGTGTTGAGTACATGCCCTAACCCCCTTTCTAAGAGCAATAGGAAGACTCGAATCATTGACAACAGGACTCTCAACTACAGGTAGAGGGATAGACTGAGATGCATTACCTGGAACTGGCATGAGGGATGATGATGGGTTTGGTGGCACAAGAGATGCTTGCTCTTTCGGACGTCGAGAATAAGTCTTAAAATCAGCCCTGTCCAAACGACCACTAATGTCAGGCTCCACATCAAGAGAACTATTAGGCTCCCCCTCACCACAAATAATAGTCCGCTGACTAGGAAGGAAAAAAGACAACTCGGGTTGATAGGCCATCTCCTCATCCGCAATCTCATCCATACCACTACTCTCCCCCGGAGGAGATGGCGGAGGAGAAGGAAAGAAGGACACAGCTTCACGGAAAGTGACATCCATACTGACATACACTTTGCGAGTGTGAGGATCATAACATTTGTAACCCTTCTGAGTAGCAGAATAACCAATAAAGACACAACGCACAGCCTTAGGATCGAGTTTCCCACGAGTACGAGGTTGCAAATGAACAAAACAGACACACCCAAACACTCAATATGCTTGGTTCTATCATGCTGAACAGGATTGTGAGCAATACTAATGGCAGCTTTGTTGTCACAGTACAGTGTCAATGGTTCACTACAAACAAACCCAATATCATTCAACAAGGACTGGAGCCACATCAATTCACATGTACCATGCGCCATAGCCCTGTAAGAATCCAAATTCATAAAATTTATAGAAACAGAGCATTTCAACTAAGCCCTCAACTTCATAGTAAAACAATCCAACCCCAAAATAGCAAAACAGCAAAACAGCAAAATCATGAAATTGAATAGCGGCATCAAATTTGAGCAGCAAAATCATGAAACTTGACGGTTATGAAATTACCTTTGAACAACGGTACATCGATGATGTGGTTGTGGCTGGACTAAAGAAATCTGAGAAAGGGGAGCCAAATTTCACAGCAAAATCATGAAATTGAACAAAGACATGAATAAAAAAAATCATACACATACAAATGTCAGCGATTTTGATACCAAACTTGACGGTTTCCTAAATGAAGACATGAAACTAAATACACCGAATAAACTTCAAATTTAGAATCCAAATTCAGAAAATTTATAGAAATAGAGCACTTCAACTAAGCCCTGAACTTCAACTAAGCCCTCAACTTCATAGTAAAACAGCAAAATCATGAAATTGAATAGTGGTACCAAATTTGAACAACAAAATCATGAAAAATATTATAATAACAAATAAAGTGTAAAAAAACCCAACAATTAAAAAAAAACAAAAAATAAAAAATTATATGGAACAAAAAAATTTGGAGATTTACTATTTCACAACAATCAAAACCCAACAATTAAAAAAAAAAAACAATAATAAATGAAATCTGAATGAAACCATTCTTCAGTTCTTTGTGTTGATCCACACGCTTCAATGTCCTACCACAATTGTAATACTCTGTTTGTAATTCTTTACTTTTTTTATTTACTTCTTTACTACCCACAATTTTTCTCTTTGATTTGAGCTCTCTGTATGTATGTATGTATGTATCTGATCATGAACACAATAAGTGAAATTCCTAGTAATCCAATAAAACCCATCAAAATGAACTTTTTTTTGTTTAAATATGAGTATATGTTCTTGATTTTCACATAAAGATCAATAAATTACAATAAAAGAAACAAACAAAAAAAAATCAATAAATGTAAACATGGAGGAATTAGATAAACCTCAGCTTTGTCCCTCCTTCTGATGGAGTCTTCATCGAACTCTGCCTCTCGAAGGTGTTTCCAGATCGCATCGTCACTGAGAGGGGTTTTCAAAACCCTAGAACCAAGTGTAATGCCCAATCGCCCCGATGCCACCATCCTGCAACTGTTGCTGAAACAAAATCGCCTCCGCGATAGGTCGCTCGCAAATGGAGCTTTCGACCTAGGGTTTCAACTCAAATCTGTGCACCGTGAACCATTCCGATCTCTAATATCTCCTCTATGGGTCTGCATTTTGTTCATTTCTACGAAGATGAACAAAATGCAAGTAAAAAATAGAGCCCTAAAATGATATGGGTCTGTTGCCTTACAGTGATGAAGGGAGATGAGGGATTGGGTCTCCGGCGAGGGAGAAGAGATGTGGTCGGTAGTCGTCAGTGTCGCGATGGCGGTGGTCATCGCAAGAGAAAAGAAAGAGAGAACTTTTGAGAAGGGAGAGAGAGATGTATCTGTGAAAGATAGATGAGAAGAGAGAGAGAGTGATGATGCCATTCAAGTTTGGGCGGGAAATGAACAGATCTCAACCATTGAAGTTTAGATGAGGCAATGTAAATCATTGGATTAAAATGTATCTCACATACATTTTACATATTTTCAAAAACCTTCCTATCTTATTATATAGATATATAAAATAGAGTAAAAGAAGATAATTATTAATATTTTCTTTGAGAAAAGACTATAATAGTACACACTTGTATAAAATTTAAATTACAAAAAATAAAAAAAATAAAAATCCTTTATGTTAGTACCGAATTATTGTATTTATGTTATGAAATAGTGCATCATAAAAGAACTCTTGTTACAAATCAAACCATTGTGGTTATATAACATACCGTTTGAAAATTGTTTATTTTAATTGATTTTTTAATTTTTTATAAAAAGAAATGTAAAAAAGTAAAAAGAGTGATACGATTTACACTAACCTTTTGACTTTTAATTATTTATTTCAAAAATGGCTATCATACACACTTTTCAATGTATTTATGTTATGAAATAGTGCATCATAAAAGAACTCTTGTTACAAATCAAACCATTGTGGTTATATAACATACCGTTTGAAAATTGTTTATTTTAATTGATTTTTTAATTTTTTATAAAAAGAAATGTAAAAAAGTAAAAAGAGTGATACGATTTACACTAACCTTTTGACTTTTAATTATTTATTTCAAAAATGGCTATCATACACACTTTTCAATGTATTTATGTTATGAAATAGTGCATCATAAAAGAACTCTTGTTACAAATCAAACCATTGTGGTTATATAACATACCGTTTGAAAATTGTTTATTTTAATTGATTTTTTAATTTTTTATAAAAAGAAATGTAAAAAAGTAAAAAGAGTGATACGATTTACACTAACCTTTTGACTTTTAATTATTTATTTCAAAAATGGCTATCATACACACTTTTCAATGTATTTATGTTATGAAATAGTGCATCATAAAAGAACTCTTGTTACAAATCAAACCATTGTGGTTATATAACATACCGTTTGAAAATTGTTTATTTTAATTGATTTTTTAATTTTTTATAAAAAGAAATGTAAAAAAGTAAAAAGAGTGATACGATTTACACTAACCTTTTGACTTTTAATTATTTATTTCAAAAATGGCTATCATACACACTTTTCAATGTATTTATGTTATGAAATAGTGCATCATAAAAGAACTCTTGTTACAAATCAAACCATTGTGGTTATATAACATACCGTTTGAAAATTGTTTATTTTAATTGATTTTTTAATTTTTTATAAAAAGAAATGTAAAAAAGTAAAAAGAGTGATACGATTTACACTAACCTTTTGACTTTTAATTATTTATTTCAAAAATGGCTATCATACACACTTTTCAATGTATTTATGTTATGAAATAGTGCATCATAAAAGAGCTCTTGTTCATGTAGTGTTCAGAGGTCAGTTTGAAAAAAAATTAAAAGAACTCTTGTTACAAACCAAACCATTGTGGTTGTATAATATTCCGTCTGAAAATTAATTATTTTAATTAATTTTTTTTTGATTTTTTTATGAAAAAAAATGTAAAAGGTAGAAAGAGTGATACGATTTACAATAATTTTTTGACTTTTAATTAATTATTTTGAAAAAGACTATCGTACACATCTTTTATCATTAAATAAGTAATAAATTTTGATGATGCTAATTATGAATTGTTGTGATGTTGTGTTAGGATGGGACTTTGTTATAAATAAATAAATAAAGATTAATCGTTTAGCCATAGCAAAAGAAAGTAATTCATTTCATAATTTATTCTCTTCAAACTTTTACAAAAAGTAGGAAAGAGGCTCTTACATTGAATTTTTAACACAACACTTAATGATAACACTAACAACTAAAATAGTGGTACAGAGACGTAAAATGAAACTATCATCCAAGTACACAAAAATGGTATGAAGCTTTCATATGCCACATATGCCATCTCTTTATCTTCAGAGCTGAGCTAAGCGACGAATATCAATTGGATACGCATCTGAAGGAGATTGAGCATTGTATGATCTCCTCCCAACGATGATATTCGCAGCTTCAGTTGGATGAAATGCATCCCAAAATAGATATTGATTCCTGTTTTGGCATGGAGTTTGCAGAGGGAGACATGTAATTTGACCATTGTTCCTCCCCACACCGCAACAACCAACATTCGTAGCTGTAAATCCTGAAACAAACAAAGCCCATATTTATGTGCATATAACTAGAAACACTTACCGAAATGTCGCTTAGTTCAACATTTATTGTCACCTAAACCGAAAAAAGTGAGTCTATATACACATAATTAAATCATAGAAACATTACCAAAACTTTCACATTAGCAACTTCTGGTAAAAATAATAAAGATACCAGAAAATAAGGAAAACTTTAGTAGTCCTTATTGTATTGAGGTGTACAGTATTAGTACTTTTTTGTGATTTAATTTTGTGTAATTACACTAACTCATCTGAAATAATTAAGCAAAATAGGTAACAATAATAAATTGAGAATATAATAATTACCAAAAGATGAGGGGTTGCTAATCAAGTCTTGGAAAATCCCATAAGCATTGATGTAGATAAATTTAGCATCAGCGAAATTGTTGTTTAAGGTATCAACAAGAGATTTAAGCCTGTCATTGAAGAGTTGATTTGCAGAGTTGATTCTTTGCACACATGTTTTGCCATCAGGGCTATTTTGGGCCAATGCGTTTGGGCTGCAGCCTATCTGCCCCACACCGATCAAGACGAGTTTTCTTGCTCCATAGTTATACAAAGTCTGTTGCCACAAACATGAAAAACTCTTAGCTAAATCTTTAGAAACAGCCTAAACAAATTTAGGGTTATTTGGATTAAAAACAAAAGTTCAACATATATTTTTTTGAATGTAATATGAGAGAGAATGTTGTGTGTGTGTGTGTGTGTGAGAGAGAGAGAGAGAGAGAGAGAGAGGGAGAGATAGAATAGCGCACCAAAAGGGCCAAGTTGTGCTAAAGTTCTAATGGGCCAACCCAAGTTTGTACTTTTAGACAGACCATTACCATAGTGCATATTTGTTTTTTCTTTTTCCTTTGAACAGAGAATGACGTTTCACAACTCTCAAATTTGAAACAAGCCAAGCCATCACTTCCCCATTGCAAATAAAAAAGTAAAAAAAAAATAAAAAAAAAGGTAACTTAGATGTAAATCTGTATGTTGAAGATGCCGCCTAGCTAGGGGTAAGGCCGGGCTTTTAACAAAGCCCATTGCTTGAGTCGAGTACCCTAGTGACCAAAATAATAATAATAATAATTATAAATTTACTTTTTCTTGCCCAAAAAACAAATGTATGGCCTTTAAGGTCGAGTAGGTTCAACATTGAGTTGACCAAATATATCGGTAAAAGATCATTTGATAGAAAAAAAAATAAAAATAAATAAATAAATACACAAGAAAGTAAAAGAAAAATACTATACAAAAATAAAGGAGAAACTATAAGACAGCGAGAAGCGGAGAAATTATTAACAAAATAGTAGAGGTGTAACTTTTGCTGTGATTTCTTTGCACAGAAAAAGTTACACACCCCCTATGTAATTGTAATTACTTTTGATCTTCTACACTAATTTGTAATTTCTCCATAAATAAAAGGTTGAAACTAAAGGGAAATAAATTTGAAGAAGAGAAGAGATTAGAGAGACCCTGATTTGCTGAGAATATTGTTGAATAAGAACATCAGCATACTGTTGAGGAGTATATTGGCGACTAGTGGAATAGTAAGTGGGCATGAAATAGTTGTTGAGATAATCATTGCTTCCCAATCCCACTGAGTATATGCACTTGCTTAGATAATTTGCAGCTGTTGCTTGATCTCCAAGTATGTTCACTATTTGTGATACTGTGTTTCTGTAGTTATTCACTTGCCCACTCATGCTAGTTCGACCGCCCTACCATCACAACAAAGCATATATAATTAATGTGTTCACTAGAGCATTTGGGAACATAGCAAAGGCAAATTAAATCTATTTAAGCCAATTCCCAAAACAACACGTAATATTATGTATAGCAGTTAGCTGTGATGCGTTTCTGCTCTCCCACTCCCTTATTTGATGTAATATCATTTTTTTGATTTTATTATCAATAAAGGTTTCTTTTTGCTTATCAAAAAAATTATGTATAGCGGTATGGTTGATTAAATAATAATATCTTACCAACTGTTGGCCAGTTTCGTCTCTAATACCAGCAGCTGCGGATGCATAATTGACACCTCTAAGTATGTCTTGACCTCTTGCAGTTACATATGGAGGTATATTCCCATTGAACCCCAGTTGCTGAGCTGTTAATCCACCAATTAAGTTTGTCAGTGCAATAGATTTTGTTATACAGGAGATGCTACAAATGCAGTAGAATAACTCATAAAACTACTCAGAATTCAACATCTATGCTCAAGATTCACTCCATGTATAGTCCTACAACACCACTAAATTTACACACCATTGATTTAAAATTCTTGAAACTTTTCTTGTCCATTTTTTGGTACTATAGACTTTTCCTTTTGTCATATTATCTATGAAAAAAACTAAAAATCCAAACTTATGATTCTAGAATTTGTCTAGAATCATTTGTGGTCGAGATCAAATTGATGAAATGAGAAGTTTAAACCATTAATTACTATTTCGAAATAAAAATTTATGAGGTTGTAATATATCTATAAGTGGATTCAATGATTGAGGAGACTGCCACCTAAATGGCATGGTATTTCATTATTGCACCAAGTACACTTGTTGTAGTGAGGTGACAACAGTGAATTCGCAAACAAAAAATTCATATAAAAAAAATTCCACTCTTATAAGTCACTCTAACAGGCTTTTTAATGTGAAATGAATAATACAAATTTGTTATATCATTCTGTATAAATTTTTTATTTGTATATGATTATTCATTTGTTTATAGGCCATTTTCGGATAACAACAAGTTTAAATGAGTTTTAAATATATATATGAAATTGAATGAGCTTGGAAGTTAAATTTGTCAGCTCTATGTTTCTAAAATAATAAAGATAAATAAAATAAAATAAAAGAATAATAATGAGGGAGGGAGGAGAGCTGACCGATGACATCAACAGTAGTTTTGCCATTGGAAAACCTTCCAGTAGGACCAGAGGGGAAGTCGATGCCGTAGGGCAAATAATTGGCTTTAGCCAAAGATGCAATATTGTTGTTATTCCCATTATCCACCAACGAATCTCCAAATATGAAGTAACATGGCACCTGAGCTTGCTGTTGTTGAGCTTCAGCCTCATACCTCAAACTCAAAACTAACACCACCACCACACACACCACCAACCATTTCCTAATATTACCACCATCCACGGCCATTATTAACATTGAAGATCAAAAAACACAAAAGACAATGAAATGTGATAAAAATATGAAAAATTAAAAAAAGGCCTTAGAGAAGGAAATGAAGGTGAGGTGAGAAAATAGGAATGGCGGTGATGGGTATGATGAAATTAAGAGGCCAAAGAACTAGCATATATATAGGGTGTAGAGAGAGTGGGGCAAACAGGATTGAGTGACACTGTTTAGATTCAAATGGGCTTGACTGGCTATGTTTTGGCTTTTACAGTTGAGAAGATAGTTAGGTGCATTAATTTCACGCGGATATATATGATATATACAAAGATTGTTATACACTAATAATAATAATAATAATAATAATAATAATAATAATAATAATAATAGACAAAAGATCGATTCAAATGCAGCAATGTGATTCATTGATCCTCCATGCATGAATTTATTAACGCATTGCATTCAATAGTGCATGGGAGTTGAATTTGAAAGTCATATCAATCTTTAGTCGGTGGAATTGATAATTGTTTCTCCCTCCTCAAAAAATGAAATTTTATTGTGTTTTGGGATTGATCCTACTAGTCCCCACTACAAGAAAAAGGGATCCAACAACGCTTATTTTGTAACATTTTTAAAAATGCTATAAATTTTGTGGTAAGTCTAAGACATGATTTCAATTATTACATGCCAGTTATTGGAAAATAGTAGGGCAACGTTTTTAAAACGTTGGGTTATAATTAAAACGATGTAGTTTATTTTAGATAAAAGTACTTATTTTTCTTTTAGATTTCTTTATTGCTTTTAAGAGTCATGGGAAATCCAAGGCAATCAGAGAGAGAGAGAGAGAGAGAGGGATCGACACTTGATGCTTCGATCTAGATATTCTTTGTCATTTTGATCTTGAATGTTGGTTCTATATTTGATTTGAGCATTTATCTTAGTTATTGATCGAATTCCTGTAATCTAAATCCATCTAGGGCTCGTTATTCTTCTTGTTTGGGTGCGACATGGCTCAAGGTAAGGGATTTGTTGAATTCACAGAAGATCTATGTAGTTTCATGGATAAAAACTAATGATTTGGATTGTATTTACATTGATGTTTGTAAATTCAGTTTCTTTTTCACTCAATTTGGTTGATATCTAACATTTTTTGCTTTTGCTTTTTGTGTTTTGTGTCTTTCTTCTAATTTTCGTGTTTATGCTTTAGCATCCTTACATGTGTGTAAATGACTACTATAATAGCATGCTTGCCATGAGACTATGTGCTTAAGTGATTAACTGCATGAATGCCTACGGATGAAGGCTTCATTGCTTGAATAAGAACAATTCATCAAATTGTGCGTTTTAAGCCCACTTATTTGTGGCAAATCATGTTTTAAGCCCATTTGAGGATGGTAAATTTGCGTTTTAGCGTACTTGCGAGTAGCACTTGCAAACCATTTTAAAAAACAAACATGAGATGTTTTGTTCCAAATTGAGCGATTTAGTCTATACTTATATGTTGTGCACATCACATAGTAAGTTAGCTAATAAACTGGAATAAGAACACATGTGTTTTCAAAACAACATATCATGATTAGTAGAGGCCGATCTTTGATCGGGCGAGCAGGGGTGCTCATTTCAGGACCTTTCCCTCTTGCACCCAAGTTCCCGAGCCGAAACAACTTTGGTGATGACGGACACGTGGCCTTAGGCACGAGTCAAGGTTTCTTAAATTTTCCAAAATAAAATATTTAGGTGGCGACTCTGAAATCTGGCAAAACAGTCCATGTTTGGCGCTTTTTGGTTAAAATCGATTTTCTAAAACGATTTGCCGAATTTGGACTCTTTAGTGATTTATCCGTCTTACATTGCACTTTGTGAGATTAGATTCAGAACCGTGATAGGAGTCCAAACTGTAGTAGCTAGAACACAATTCGCGCCCTCTCCGAAAAGGGGGCACGCGGAGCGAGTTCGGGCAGTCTACAGTTTTTGGCGACTCTGCTGAGGATTTAGAGAACTTGACTCGAATATCATGATATGTTGTTTTATCTACACTTATGTGTTTCTTTGCATTGCATTTGCATCGGTGCGCTTAAGTCACAGTGTTTGCCATCTGTTATTCCTGAACGGTTTGCCGGAGGCTTGCTTGGAAAAGCGTGCCATAAGGCTGACCAGTTACAGGCTCTGCCACGATGGGAACACAAATCTCGGTTCTCTATAGGCACGCTTTTTGACCATTCGACCTAGTGCATATCAGAAGCTTTAGAGACTGCTCCAAACTAAGACAAGTTGCTTACCCGAATGTAGGTTGTTTGAAACCGCATACGTGCGTAGTGAAACCTTAGCTCCTGACAAGATAGGACAGGGAAACCCTACCTCTCCATAGGGATGTTTTGGCTCTTACTTGCTTAATATGTGCTGTCAGAGTACGTCTCTACAGGGATGTATTTATCAGTTGAAAGTTTGAGTATCGGCCTGAGGGTATCAGTTTATAGGCAAAATTTTGGGCAGAATTCAATAGAGAGCACAGTCATTCAGCTACGCTCATATCTGTTTTGATGAAATTAGGCTGAGGTGTTGTCTATTTTCTTTTTTGCTAGGTAGTCCTGGAACCATAGCTTCAGAAGGCTCTGATATCTCCCGGGTACATTGGACTTGTGTTGATAGACTTTGTCAGGTCAGAGATTCAATTCAAGGGCAACTAGTGTTTCCTTTGCCAGTGGTAAGGTAAAGAAGGGCCAGTCAGGCACAGGTTACCAGTACAGCGGTTACCAGATCAACGGTCATTGTCTACCCCACCTGTGCGCAGTTGGGCTGAGATTTCTATTCCTACCATAGAGAGAGAATATACACCTGTTTTGATAGACCAGCAGTTTTCAGTAAGTATGGAAGAGATGATGCGTCAGCTCCAAGAGACCATGCAGGCCATGCAGCGAGATGCTGCTCGTCAACCAGAGGTCACCGCCCGTCAAGCAGAGGTTGTAGCCCAACAGGCAGAACTGATTGCCAGACTTCAACAACAGCAACAACCACAACAAGCCGAAGCATCTGCCTCGCATCCACCCTCACCCCCACCTAGAGTTCCAACACTCAGGGAAACTACAAACATCCAGAAGAATACGGACGTCCCCATGAGGCCAGTCCCGCCTCAATTGTCTAAAGCACCTGCTAATCCAGTGGATACATCGTTTGAATTTGAGGTGCACCCAATTGCACTGAAAGTGAGTAAGCTTGAAAAGCTATTCAAACGGGCCTTGGGAGTTAACTCCATTCCAGACATAGAGGATGGTTACACCGATTCACTAGTGACATTGCCGGATCGGTTCAAGATGCCACATATAGACCGTTTTGACGGTTCTGGAGATCCTATGGTACATCTGCGGTTGTTCTTGGATATCCTACGGCCAATGGGCCTCTCCAGATTGCAAAAGCTTTCACTCTTCGGTCGGACCCTATCGGGTATTGCGGCCATATGGTATGCCAAACTAGAGGACTCAGTAAAGAGGAGTTGGGAAGAGATGGCCGAGGCCTTCACCGCCCAGTATTCATACAACACCCAAATCGAGGTCACAATTCGTGATCTAGAGGCGACCAGGCAAGAGCCGAAAGAGGGCTTTTCTAATTTTGTCACTCGATGGAGGGCTAAGGCCTCCATTATGACAACTCGACCACTGGAAAAGGATCAGATAAGGATGGTTGTGCACAACCTTCAACCCAAGCTTATGTAGAAAATGATCATCTTACCCCTTCCCACTTTTGCTGACTTACACGAGATTGGGGTACAGATTGAGGATGCCATGAAGTAAGGTCTGATTGACCGCGAAAGGGAGTCACCCAATAAAGGTTATACACGTGGTTCGAATGCGACCACCAGTGGCGATGCAGCGGCAAGATCTTCTGAAGTTGGACTGGTCATCACCACTCCAAAAACAGCCACCCCTTTTTTTGGTACGTCCAATCCAAACCCCCAAACTTTGAACTATCTACCCCGAGGCAAGAGGGTTTTCACCCCACTTTATATGCCTTTGTCTAAAGCTCTAGGGGTCCTACTCAGGAAAGGACATCTCAAACCGTTAGAACAGTGGCCTTTACCCGATCCTCTCTCTCCAAAGCATGACCCGACTAAATACTGTGCATTCCATCAACAGCAAGGTCATGATACCGACTTTTGCATCAGACTACGTCATGAGATTCAAGATCTCATTGACAACAAGGTAATAGCACCTCCAGAAAAACCAAATGTCAATCAAAACCTTCCATCTAGGCAGGTAAACTTCATCTAGACAACGGCCAACCCGTTTGACCCCAGCATATACATTACCCCAGCCCATTTACCCAAGATTGAGGTGTTCATTCCAGTCAGCATGGCCTTATGCATGATGGGTACACCTGAACCCTAATTATCTCAAACCCGTGAACCCACTACTACTGAGTTGGTGAGCATGATTGAAGATTTGCAAAAAAATTATGGCAGATTTAGCCTTTGGAATTTTGGCTCCATCATCGACCACATCATAGGCCAAAAGTTTCAACCCAAAAGGCTCCTTGATCTTGGGGCAAGTGGCAATTGAAAAGGGCCAACCTGAAGCCATCTCAGATCTGGGTGTTGGTGTGTCGACAACAACTGGGCTTCGCTCGGACATAGTGACTCAATCCCTTGGCAAAGTGGAGGCAAATGGTAAGAACAATGCCAGGGCAGGCATCGGTCCCTATGAACATCTTCAGTGGGCTGTTGAGGCATTGAAAGCCGAAGGTCTGAACAAACAACAAGTGCTCGAAGTTGTTGCAAAAACTGTGGATGACACTTTTGCCACTCAGAATGAGAGCAGTTTGAATCAAGGGGCAAGCCCCGTTGTACTAGAAACACCCATTTCAGATCCAATCCTACTCTTAGAAGGAGGTCAGCAAACCCAGCCAGCACCCGCCAATCCCTTTGCTGGTACAATCAACCCGATCACACAAACCTCGATGTATCAACCCCGAGGCCAGAGGGTCTTCAATCCCCTCTACTTGACTTTGTCCAAAGCTTTCCACACTACAAAAAAAAAACACTTTTGGCGACCACCTATTTTTTTTGGTCGCAAATACTCCACTTTCTGCGACTAAAATTTAACTTTTGGCGACCAAACAAAAAGTTGGTTGCGGAAAGTATACCTATTGGCGACCAAACCAAAGGCTTTTTTGGTT